CCTCAGAGGGTTCTTCGACAGGAGTATTCTCTTCTTCTTCTGGCTGCTGAGGATCAGAAGCAATATGAAGAGCATCAATCCCATGCTTGAGAGGAGTTGTCGAGGTCTGAGAAGCACTCCGTGGTTGCTGGGAAGGCGTGGTGCTGCCCTTGGGAGGCGATGAGCTAGCAGCTCTACGGACGGGTGAAAGCATCGACGGGCGGACATTGCCTTCCCTAAACATCGGTGTTGGCAACTTGACGCCTTTGACCGGGCTGACATTGTGGCCACGCAGTCGCTTGGGCGAATTCTCAACCTCATCTTCATCCAAGTCCAGCTCGACCGGGCGCTTGCCCAAAACCCCGCGAGCAGCCCCAACATGGAGACTCTTACGACTGCCAATCCTAGACTTTTTCGGGCTTAAGTTTGAAATCATATCCTTCAAGCTTGGAGTTACGTCCCGATCTGACTGCAAGCCCGTGATATGGCCATCCTCTCGGAGCTCCTCTTCTTCACGTTCACGTTCTTCCTCGGCCTGCAGTTGCAAAGGATCCTCGAAGCGTACACCAGATCGGGGCTGTTCTTGCGGAATAAACTTGGGCGTACTATCTCCTAGCGACTGCCGCCTGTCAAGTAATGCCGCCACGCGAGGAGATCCAAGGCCTTCTTTGTCAATCCCTAAACCAGAAGAGCGACGGCCCTCGCGTGGTTGTAATTTGAAGAGCGGGGTCGACTCTCCCGTTGCTATGTTATGCTCGAACAGGCTTTGGCGTAGAGACTTGCGCTTATCTGCTGATTGCTGGAGCTCGGGCTGGAAGAGCTTCTTTGGTGAAGCACTTCTAAAAGTAACATTGCTAGAGGGAGGTGTCTTGCTTGGGGTGGTAGGTTTCGCTTGGGGGGTGGACTGTTTGGGCGGAGTCAATGGCTTCGTGTGTGGTGATCGTTGCCGGCTTGCCGACCCTGGCGTGCCCGACGATTCTGAAGTGGAGCTACGCCGGGGATGTCTAGCCCGCACGGTTGCCAAACTGGGACTCCCATTTTCGGATGCAACAGCAGCAATTTGATAACGCAGAGGTGATTTAGCAGGGGACTTGGCAGGAGACTGCCGAACGTTGTCTTGGAAAGGCGAGCTAGCGAGCTGACCCGAGTCTGTTTCGAGCTCCATTATCATCTTCGCGTGCACTTTGTCGTTGGCTTCAATCCCTGACTGTAGGATACCACCAATTGCACCAGTCATCTCCATGTCCATACCACCGTCAGACTCATTGTCTTGATCGAAGTTCATCTGATCAGAGTTAGAGGCCTCAATACGTTGGTTTCCCAAGATTTTGCCAACGGCCGAAGTGAATTCCATTGTCATTCCTTCATCTTCGTCACCAGTCTCAGAAAACTTTGATGGCGAATCCTCCTGCGCGATGCCGCCGACGACATTGGTCATCTCCATAGTTTGATCTCCGTAGTTGGATTCTTCTGCCACAGACTGGCGACGAGCCGTGCTCTGGCGACGGCTGGGAGACTTGCCAAGGATGCGTCCTACGGCATTCGTCACGTCCATGCTGAGATCTTCGTCCTCGTCAATATCATCTGATTCTGGCAAACCTTGAGTAGTGGCATCCTTGGATGGGTCAACGTTCTCCTCATCATGTCGTGCGCTAATATCTCCCCAATCGAAGCTTTGTCTTTGGCCCTTTTTGATCCATGGCTGGAAAGCACCAGTTATCTCTTGATCCGCGATTTCCATTGACATCTCTCCGTCCTCGTCAAGTTCGGTTCCTGCTTCCTGTGCAGCTTGGCGCAGTGCTTCGTTGAGTCTAGCACTAGAGCTTGAGCTAGAAGTTGCGTCTGATTGGACACTCATCCCTGAGCGCGCGGTCATATCATCCATGCTCATTGCAGTGCTCTCAGCATCAAATCCATCGTCGGAGTCTGAGGAATCGCCATCGTCCTCTTCTCCGGCCAGGCTTTGGGCGCCGGTGTCTTCGCTCCCTACCGAGCTTCCGCTGAACGGACTAGAAGATAAATCCTGGTCGCCACCCCCAGATGATGGGCGATCTCTTATCTGATCCAGATCTTGTGTGCGGACAGGGGAGAATCCGAATTCCGACTCTGCTGGTGAAGATGGGGCATCTTTGGTGGGTGAGATAGGGCCGGGTTGGTTCTGAGAGTTTGCAGCAGCAGATGCGCGTCTTGTTGAGTTCGCAGCAGACGAGGAGGTTGAGTCGTCCGGAATTTCCACCACGTTCCAGGTGTGTAGAGTTGCCTCAGGGGCAAAGGATACTCGGCGATTTGCTGTACAGATGTGTCAATAGTCACTTCCATGATAAATTTGAATGGACACACGAACCCATCGATTTCCTCCGCGCCGCTCGTTTCTCTAGGATATTCTGTCGTTCACGATCTTTGCGCTCCTGTTCATCGCGCTCCTTGGTAGCAGCCATCTCCTCACGAATGGCGGAAGTCGCATTAAATGTATCAAACGGGTTCGCCGTGTCGTCATTGTCATTATCTGTCGTGGGAGGTCCCGGCGTCGCTTCAAAGTCAATCAAGAGACCCTCTTTCCCTTGATCCTTTTGGCTCTGTCCATCCATCGTGCCGTCATGAGTCTGCTGTTTACTACGAGCTGGTGTACGTCGCCGCGTTTCCTCGAATGACGGGATGTTTCGCACTGGAGAGACAGGGACTGTAGGTTTGAGAATGGACTTTAGCGGGAAAGAAGCCGTAGACTATAGATGTTTGAGTCAGAATTATTCTGCATATGCGCGAGTTGTGTTCGGTTGGTAGCTACCTGGCGGCGATTGCCGTTAGAATTCTGGAGGGCATCAAGCCCACCGGGGCCCAAACTCTTACTCCGAGACTTCTTATCCCTCATAGCAGGCTTTGTGTTATTCGAAAATGGCTGGGCTGCGCCAATCTCCGTTGTCGCATTCTCCTTGTCCAGACCAGACGTCATCCTAGACCGCGGGACATGAGCGATAGACCGACGAGATCGTGGCTGTCGCAAAGCCGCGGAATCGGGTCGAGTTGACATTTTCGGCGGTCGAATGGGCGCATTCACAGATCAATTCAAGATTGCATATTCCATAAATCCGAACCTTAAGATCTCTAGATCAAACAGGACTGAGCCTGTAATCTGTTCCTATCGCACCTGCCCAAAGCGCGTTGCCTCCGCAATCACGTGATGTAAACAAAAGCGCAGAGCCCTAACCCCAATTAGCCTAGTCCCGATCGGGACTAGTGTCGCACACTACGAATTACCAAAGATTCCGACGGGCAACGAATCTTCCTCATCTTCGACAGCCGCCAACCCGACATTTCTTCGACACCGCTTCCTCGTCGAACAACACCGCAAAAATGGCCACCGAGTTGACCGTCCAGTCGGAGCGCGCTTTCCAGAAGCAGCCTCACATCTTCCTTAACACCAAGGCTAAGGCTTCCTCCAAGAAGACTGCCCAGGGCCGCCGCTGGTACAAGGATGTCGGTCTCGGTTTCCGTACCCCCAAGACCGCCATTGAGGGAACCTACATCGGTATGAACGACTTCCGTTGAGTTTTTATTCGAAATCTGGTGGCGAAATATATGGGTGGGTGGTCTTTTCAAGGTTACAAAAGGACGAATGGAGGATCGCGTGGAGCAATTGAGGGGCTTGGAATCTCTGTCGTTTCCTCTCTCGCCAATATTCGCATTCAATACTCGAACTCTCGAACCTCGGAAAGACCACTCATGCCAAAAAAAGACTTGCTTGCGATTACCGATTTCTTCATGTGTCAGATTGCTCATTTTTGAACTTTTACAGACAAGAAGTGCCCCTTCACCTCCCAGGTGTCCATCCGTGGCCGTGTCCTCGTCGGCAAAGTCGGTAAGTTAAATCAGAACTATCTTTTTACAAGGCAAGGGGATTTCCTAACGAATTATGTACAGTCTCCACCAAGATGCACCGTACCCTCGTCATCCGCCGCGAATACCTGCACTACGTCCCCAAGTACAACCGTTACGAGCGCCGCCACAAGAACCTGTCTGCCCACGTCTCCCCCGCTTTCCGTGTTGAGGAGGGTGACATGGTTACCGTCGGCCAGTGCCGTCCTCTCAGCAAGACTGTACGTTCATCTAGTGATCCAGGTCAATTTTCGCCACTGTTGGCAGTCTGCAAAGCCACACTTTATTGCACTACTACAACAAGTCGAATTTTGGCTCCCCATGGTGTTTTGCGATGAAATAGATAACTAACCCAAATTTCTATAGGTTCGCTTCAACGTGTTGAAGGTTCACGCCAAGACCTCCCGCGCTGTCAAGTCTTTCTCCAAGTTCTAGGTTAATAAACCGGGTGTTTTGAAGGCGAAGGAAGCGGTATGGACTGGATATACGGGAAGTTCTTGGATGGGGGTCGGGATAGTTTATGAGTTTCCATGTCCCAGATACCTCGCTGATGAATGTGTATCCACGCAAAAATCAAAATGATTTGTTCGGCCCTCCTGTGATGGAAACTGTACAACAACTCTGGTACAAGGCAAGATTGACCATGCATGGCAATCTTAACAGAGCCTCTCAATACGCATCTCGAGTTATTTTCTCGCTCTTCTAAGTCTAACAGTAGGACCTTTGTATGTGTTTTCCATGGAAATTGCAAACCACATACTCCGGGGGAAGGGTTGTCCGGATATCTGTAGGCGTGCGTGGTTTTGGTCTCATTTTGGGCATCCATTGGCTATCTTACTAGTCAGGTTGCATCATACCTACTCTAGATGCTCAGGAAGGTAAAATCTGGATATACCCACTTCATTTGCTTTATTCGTGAATGCACGTACTAGGTACCCACAGGTGTTGTAGATCATTCTTACGGGCATTACATACGTTGGAGACAGCGTTGTCACAAAGTTTTCATTCAACTAATATCACACAGGCATATTGACATATTTACTAGGGCTTCCTCATCTTCACATGGCTGTGCAAAACAAAGATTGTTCAATGTTCTCTTCCACGCCAAGCATAGATTCTCTCTTCGTGGCATTTCGCATATCATTCTGTCAGTTTTCGTGATGAGCCCAAGTTCGGACTTTCTCAAAAAAGTCCATATCTGTATGACCATCTAGGACAAGATTGTTGATGGTGCTTTGTCCCGATTGCAATGGGATTCTTCCCCTGATTTTTGTGGGCGTGTCGGGGTACATATATTCATCATCGGACGGCCAGCCCAATTGCAATGCCCGCTGAGAACTAGTATCCTCGTTATCCGAGGTGAGATCAATTACTTCTTGACTATGTACCGGTCCCGAGGAGGGTTCGGGGGCATCGTTTTCAGAGAACATCCCACTAGACAGCGTCTCATGTGTTGAGAACTTTCCGTCATCCGATGTCTCGCTCACATCGCAGATCGTCATCGATCGAGACTCGTCCATGTATTCCGACTCTGAGGTCCCTCCCGAGCCTTTGTCAGTCTCGGACGGTTCGTAGTCTAGATCAGAAACGCAGTCAGATGAAAATGGCATCTTTTGGGAAGTTTTCACTGGCGTCTTTTGGGGTGTGGGCCATGGAACTTCACTTTCAGAATCTGACAATTCCTCGGACAGGTAAGGTGGTGCACTTCGAAGACCATTGTGGAGCAGAACGATCTCTTTAGCATATTTCCAACCCCATGATTTGGCAAATCTTGATGTTATGTTGTCCCAGTGGACCGTTGGAACTTCAAGAAGAGTCAACAACTTTCCAAGTGTTCGACCGGACTGGAAAGGCGACTTTCTTTTTGCCGCCAGCATGTCTCGCAACTTCTGATTGCAGCGTGGAGAGCCACGGATAAGAGCGGTTTGCATCAAGCGAGCGACATCGCGGTGGGATTGTATGATTTGCTCCAAACTTGTTATTTCGACGCTGAAACCAATTGCCTCAAGTGGGATACGGCCCCAGATGAGGTACTCTCCATATCCCTTCCAGCTGTAGGTAAAAGTCCTAGTCCGAATCGCAAGCGGATGGGCATAGAATACTTTTGTTTCTAGCTTCGAGGTGTCAATTACGGTCAGCATGGCACCGTTTTGATTAGCAATAGCACGGTGAAGTGGTGCCAAAGGAGAATGAGAGGTAGAAATGAATGGCGTTTTGACTTTTTCCTTGGTGACATGGCTTCGAAAGAAGCTCTCGAAACGGTCATCAGATAAGTCTTCAGGGTCAAGCCATTCACCGTTGCAGAAAAGCCCGGCTAGAAAAACAGTCTTCGAGTTGACTCCTTGCGAGTCACGGTTTGACCACCGAAACAGCAACGGTGGCATTTTGTCGGCGGGAACTCCTCTCATGGCCAGCTCATGGTCGTGGTGATAGCCTTGCTGGCCATGATGCTGCTGGCTGCAGCCTTGGTGTTCTTGCTGTTGATCTGGCTGTTGATCTTGAACCTGTTGGCCCAAATCTTGGTACCCTTGGTGCTGATGCTGGGACTGGTTTTCGTCGAGGATTTTGTGTTGGTCAAGATGAGTATGTTGGGTCCATTCATCGGGACCATCTGTCTCGTCAATTGCCAATCCATGCTCACACCAGATACACGTCTTGCCATGACTGGTAACAACAGCCTCATTGTTTTCCAGAGGGTCGATATGTCTCGGCTCGTCGGCCCATTCCTGACTCTGGCCGACACTCATTGTGATACTCTCACTTTTTTGATCATCACTTTTGGCAAAATAATGGCTCCTTTCCTCTGCTCTTCGCTGGTGGAGTGAAAATGACATGGGGTGGGGGGTCTGCGGGGGGGACTCAGTTCTCAGTCTCAAGGCCATTGTCATTCGCGTGCCCCATTGAGCAGTGTCAATGTCATCCTCTGTCTTCTCGATAAGAGGGAGGTGCATTGTCAATGCAGTGGACTTGATGCGCTGGATGACGTTCCTCCATTCTCCGTCCATATTGAAATCAGTGTTCCGATGGACATGCGACCAGATAAGATCGCCAGTGTTTCTCATCCAGTTCCACTGTGCGTGAAGCGTTTTACCTGGAACAAATCGATGAATTCCACGTTTTCTCAGATTGTCGCGGAACATAGAGAAGAAGATCTCCTCTTTTTGTTTCTTGTTGCATCGGAAAAACCGGTACAGACAGCAAAGAGCTTGGCGCATTGGAACGTCCCATCTTAGCTTCGGTCTTTTGCCCTCCATTTCGAATGGAAGATAAATGCAGATGCAATGTTTCAGTGGAGTCTCAAAACTGTGAGAGGTAACGTGTGTGAAGGATGGTGGCTTGTTCAAGTTAACCGAAGACTTGACAAGAAGGGAATGTCACAAGGGTGGGAAGAAGAGAAGAGAGAGAAGGGGAGTAAGAGAAGGTTATAGCAAACGAGCAGGTAAACTTGGGGCTTAGTTTTGGAAGGGAGGAGAGAGAAATCCCCAGCTCGTCCCTTGAACATTCTCAGAATAGAGATATCTTCGGTCCCATGTATGCGACTGTCGTCTCCCAAGAAACTAACAAAGAGCGAAGCCAATTTACTATACTTAACTCATAAATATATCTGATCATGTTATGTACCTCTCTTCAAACATTGCTCTCATGTTGGGATACGATAGAAGTTGGAGATCTCATTGTTCTAGGTACACATTTTGCCCATCTCGGACAGACTTGGCAAATATGTAAAAGATAACTGTTTTCCTACCTAAAAGAATAAGCATTTAATCGATTATCGTGAGAAATAGAATTGTATAGACCTTCCAGGGTTAGTTCTAACTGATGACTGGCTTGGTTCTAGTATAATCACTACGTGGAGTATGACATATATAGTTCATGTATGTAGCCCTAGATCGACACCACAAAACATTAGTATGTAGTCTTCTACTTACCTAGTGGACTGTATTTTAGCCAGAATATCTTACTCTTTCCTCTTTCCATCGAATCAAGATCTTACCAAAAAAAAATAAAAAATAAAAAATTGCTGTGCCGTATTTCCCTCAATTGTGTAAAACACCTAAAGGATTGAAACGAGGTGACAAGATTTCAATAATATCGTCAATAACCGATAAAATGTATGACATTGTCATTTATGGTCCATATTGCCTATAAACCTCTATATATGATCTGATATGTAAGTTCGATATAAGTATATAAGTATATACTATACTCATACTCCCCCGTGCACATGCGGAACTCCCAATCTACGCTAGTCCCGATTTGGGTTGCCCTCTAGGAACATGCACTCCGCCCCAACTCCCTTTGCCCTCACCCTTGAGATTGTCCAATTTGCTATCCTTATCCCTCAATTTACTTTTCTGTCTATATCACCTCTGTGATTTCTACTTCTCGCCAATTCCTGGCCCGGCCGTTCCGATCGGACTTTGGCCCCTCGCCCCTAGAAAACCACCCACTTTCCCGAGGCTTACAGCATGGCTCAATGAGCCACGTCATGAACGATACGGATGATTGAAGATTTTCTCGGACATTACAAGGGCGTTGATTCTTGGAGCAGGCTCTCCAGTCTTTTCCTACTGTCTTCCGACAGACTTGCATTCTCCTGAGCCATCGAGAAGTTGGGCACCGATTCGCGACTTTCACAAACAACATGCCCGGAGGATTTGAGAAGTCAGTAAAAGGGGCCACGAAGCTCAAGGTCAGTCTGAATGTTGAACTTATTGTTTTCTGCATGCGACTATTATTAACCATTTGGCGTGAACAGCTTGCGGCCCCTAAATCCAAATACATAGAGAACATCCTTGTGGCGACTCATACCGGCGAGGCAGGAGTCGCAGAGGTATTCCGAACACTCCAAATACGACTTCGAGACTCGGCATGGACCATTGTATTCAAGGCGCTCATCGTCCTCCATCTCATGATCCGAGAGGGTCAACTGGATGCTGCGCTTGGATACTTGTCCGATAACCCGAAGAAGATCGCGCCCAGCAATTTCTCTGAAGGTTAGACCAGGGTTTCCCTCACAGGGATATGAGCGCATCTTACTGACTGTTTTACAGCCCAATCGCAGGGGCATAATATCCGACGGTATGCCGAATACCTAATCACGCGCGCCAAGGCGTTTGAAGCCTGCAAGACGGATCACGTACGAAGCGGACCAGGACGGCTGAAGAGGATAGGTGTGGAGAAAGGACTATTGAGGGAAACGGAAATTGTACAGAAGCAAATTCGTGTGTTACTGCGCTGTGATGTAGGTGAATTCCGAATTTGGGTCTGATTTTCGGTGACTGACAGTATACAGCTATTGACTGATGAGCCCGAGAACGAGATCAGTCTGACCGCGTTCCGTCTCCTCACGCTTGATCTATTGACTCTGTATTCAGTCATGAATGAGGGCACGATCAATGTCTTAGGTAAGTCAGCAGCCCCTCCATTGATCGGCGTTGGTCTAACTCTGAACCCTAATAGAACACTACTTCGAGATGTCGCGGCCGGATAGTATACGTGCCCTGGCAATCTATAAGACATTCACGAAACAAACGGAAGAAGTGGTTCAGTTCTTGGGAGTGGCTAGACATTTCCAATCTGCTACTCGCTTGGAAATCCCGAAGCTCAAGCATGCCTCCACAGATCTGGCGCGCCTTCTCGAGGATGATCTCAACGATCCTGATTTCGATCTTCGCCGACGGGAGTACTTGGCTAAGAAAGGTGTACGCGTTCCACCGAGCATGGAAGCCAGTGCGACAGCAGATGTATCAAAGCCAACGCCGAACACACTGATGTCGAACCCGCCGGCGTCAAACCAACCCAAGCAGGCCGAACAACCGAAGCCACCACCTGTGGACCTGATCGACTTTTTTGATTCAATTGAGCAGAACCAGGAGCCAATGGCGCAACAGAACCCGGTGCAGTACCAGCAAACAGGGTTCCAACAGCAGTCACAGCAACCATTTTATCCCCAGCAGACTGGCTTCCAGCAACAGCCTCAGGCGATTCAACAGCAGCCTTTGGCAACTGGATATGCCCAGCCGACCCAATATGGAACCCCTTATCAAGCACAGGGCCCAAACAATCCATTTGGGCAGCCGCAGCAGCAACAACAGCCGCCGCCACCACAGCCTCTTCAAGCTATGCCAACTGGCGCTGGATTTGGAGGGTACTCCCCCAGCCGCAGTCGTATGGCTTCCAGTCGCAATTGGCTCCTATCCCGCAGGAAGGAATTACCGCCTTCCCTCAACAACAACAGCAAGCACCTCAATCCTTGCAGCCCCTGCAGCCCCAGCACACCAATCCGTTCCGCCAGTCAATGATGCTCAACACTCCCACGGCCGCTCAGCCACCCGCCGCTCCTCTATCGCGGCAGAACACGAACCCATTCGCAAGACGACTATCCACAGCAAACACGCAATATAATCCCTCAAATGAGCAATTTCAGCCTGCGCAACCCCCGCAAGTGCCTCTCCCTCAGCCACCGCAGGCGCAGCCGATCCAGCCTCAGCGGACGGGGACCAACCCTTTTGCGCGAGCCTCTCCTGCTCCGCAGCAAGGTCTGCAACCCCCCGCAGCTGCCCCCTTGCGGCCTAACCCAACTGGCAGCACCAATCCTTTCCGGCAAAGCCAGTTTATCAATCAGCAGACCGGACAAGGTTGGCAAAACAGCGGGCAGAGTGGTACAATGGGTGGATTAGAACAGCTGGACACGGTGCCGGTCTTCCCGCGTCCTGGCATGACCTAAATTTATGGGCCCAACACCATTTGCATGGCCTCGGAATGAAACCGATGTCCGTTATTAGATTATCTTCCCGCGACTATCTCATTCGTTCTATCTCACTTGCTCCCCACATCGCCTCCACATTGAGTAGACCACAGATGTTTCCGTGTAAACTAGCTCTTTGATATTACCAATATCGTATGTTGTAGTTATATTGTAGATCTCAAATCATGTACGTAATTACCTTGGAAACCCCTTCAGATTAGGCACTTGTACTCCAAGAACCAAATTTGTAACAAGGTCAAGAACATGATCATCCACATAGTTTGAAACTTTTAGTTGCACAGCCTCGGGCTTATACAACGCCCACTATAACAGATTCAAGGCTAGTGCTGACGGGGGAAAATCTTGACTTAACGTCTACGGCTTTTTAGCCGTTGAAAATATTTCGTTATGACCTCACAGGGGGGCCAGAATGCAGATCATCTATATACTGGGTTATCCCCATATATTTGGGGTGTTTCATGAATATATCAGACCACGATGTCGAGGTCTTGTAGACATGTGTTATCACACTTTTTTTTAAAAAAAAACACCACATGACCTCAGAAAGAACAAGCTCGGTGAATAATCCCATGTCTTCAAGGTCAAGTGGATATTGGGAACTTGCAAGGTTGGGATTGTTGCAGGCCTGGAAAGGGGGATTATTGTGGTATCGGAAGAAACTAAAAGAAATCATCAATTCCCCTAATTCCCCCAATTCCCTCAATTCCCCTAAATGACCTAAACGGCCTATATGCTTCCCCTTAAAACATCTTAAAATAAACCTGTCGAATTCCACTAGAGCTCTTAGCGGGGCCGATGATTCTGCAATGTGAAGAATCCAAATTTCCTGTGATTTCTACCCCGCCGGTCCGGAAAGGAAGTTTGTCCTCTTCTAAATCCCTCCCTCCTATGTAATGCCTCGAACTTCCAGATAAGCTCGATGAATGCCAAGGACCTCTTACCGGGTTACGAGCAGCCCTTGCCCGTGCTGTCTCGGCCATCGGCCGCGGCTTGGGCGGCCGATCCGATCCACTCCCCCTATGCAGCTCCCATCCACTTCGATCCCAACTCTGTACAGACCGTGACCTCAGCACCGACAGCTCCACCACCTCCTCCACCCACAGCTCCCAGTCGAAAAACAACCACTAGGGTACGCAAACCTCGCAAAAACAACAATGCATCTACGGGGAAATCGACGTTATTCTGGGTCAACAGTGATCAACAAACGGCAGCGGCAGGCACGACGGATGAGACCCTAAAGCGGATTCGGTCCCATGTTATGTCCGAGCATAATCGCAAGAAGCGAATGGAGAGCACGGAACAGTACAATAAGAGCAAATGGAAGCACTCTTCTTATCAACCCCCGACAAACCCCGGGGCACTCGTACCCGTTCAGCCTACCCGTCCGTCTATTAGCTCATCCGCCAGCTTATCCAGCAGTCAAATCTCAAAAGAACAAGAGCTAGAACAGGTCGATGAGCTTGTTACATCAACAGCCGTGGG